ATCTTAAAATTGATGACCATTATTAATTATTAGGTGTGCTTTATTTAATTTATTATTTTACAAACTGCAGGAAAATAAGTATAAGGTAAAACACGTTTCTTAAATTCTTAGTTTACGCTACATACCGTAATACATTAAAGTTCCTTAAAGTCGTATGATTAGAGATACATTTATAAAATGAAGTCCTTATAATTCTTGTAAAAGTCAGATGGTCTATGTGTGCGAAAACACATTTGTACAAGATGCCGAGAGCAAGAGGAGGGTGTTGTCAAACACCCAAGAAATACATTAATTCCTGATATGAAAACTGTTTACAAATTATTATTTAATTAAAGATTGCTTTTTTTGTTTTTAAACTAATCATTAAAATCTAAAATTACAATACCTTAAAATTAATTTTAAATGTGCTCCCAAATAAAAACAAATTCCATTGTAAGAGGATAAAAGTCTCGATCTTTGTTTACAGCATGGAGAATGACTTCCAATGCATGGCCGTCTAGAGAAATTTGACGTATCGCAAGTTATCTCTACGCACTAAGTTTCACAGTTTAACTAAACAATTTTATCTTATTGTTGAAAAATAAGCATTTCAACAAACAAAAAAATAATGGCTGATATAATCAGATTTTTTTACTTAAATGTCAAATGAACGCTTGTAGCTTATTTGTTGAGGGTTAAAATCATACGGATTCCTCTTTACAAGATGCGAATATCATTCAATGCAGTAATAAAATCTCAAGAAATCTTTATTTTTGGCAATTTACACTTATAATCTGATATTTTGTAATTAATTCAAAATGTGAAGTCCGGAAATTCAACTTCAAGTCACAAGCAAATATTAGGTTCATTTTGATGCGTGCAAATTTAAGAGTTTCCACTACTATTTATTTTTCTATAATACATACATAATTTCTCCATATGTTATTTAATTAATTAAAATATATTAATTGAAAATAATTTTACATTTAAAAGCACAAAAGTAACATTTTAAGTACTTTTTTTTAGTTTTAAAGTGATTAATACAAAAGAACCTGGATTGATTGAAAAAAAATCATCATCAAATTAAAAATTGAAGAATATTTGCATTTTTTATTACTCAAAATGTGCTAAAGAAATATGAGCTAATATATTAAATCTGCTCCCAAATTATAAGAAACATTTTAAAATTTTTTAATTAAAATTTTAAAACATTTTTTAATTTTTTGAGCATTTCAAAACACTTTTATAAAATATAGTGGATAAAAAAAGTATTGGCAATTGCCTATAAATGAACATATTTGCTAACAAAGTATGTTTACAAATTTTATTTTAACATAGCGATTACAGAAGGAGTAAAGTCAAACAAATATAACGAAATTTTCATTTAAATATTTTTTTAGTCAAAATCTACGACAAAATCCAAAATTTACATGAAAAAAAAAGTATTGGCAAAATTATGAAATTGACAAAATTATGAGTGGAAACAAAATCAGTATATGTTTAGTACTTTGTATGTGTACCTGTTGTTGTTGTTGTTTCTTATCCCACTTGGCTGGCCAAGCCCACGAGCCCATACGTGCTCATGATTGAAGGGTCAGGAAGCAGCTTCTGTTGTGATGGAGCACCCGTAGGTAGAAGCCTGACTTTTGCTCCGTGACGCTCTTACAGTCATAGGAGACCGGGACCTACGGCTTAAAGTGGATTCCGAACCACTACAAACATCCATGGCACCGCCGGGATTCGAACCCGAAGCCTGTGGCACCGAGTGTCAGAGCGCTAGACACTCGGCCATTCAGGTCCCAAATTTGCCAACGGCACGCGGTGTTCCCAGGTGGTCACCCACCCACCCAAGTACTGACCGCGCCCAATGATGCTTGACTTCGGTGATCTAAACGAGAACCGATATATTCAGCATGGTACGGCCGTTGGCTATGCATACCTTCTGCATCTATAACAGCTTGTAATCTATTTCTCATAGAAGAAACTAAGGTCTTTGTTGTACTGTTGTGAATTTTGTGCCACTCTTGCAAGAGTAAACGTTTGAGGTCGTCTTTACTTGAAATTTTATGTTTCTCGATTTCTAGATCCAGCAGATGCCATAAATTTTCAATTGGATTGATGTCAGGCGATTGAGGTGGGGTTTTTAATTGGCGAGGAGCATTGTAGAGTTGCCATTCACGGGTGAGATTCGTTGTATGCTTGGGGTCATTGTCTTGTTGAAAAACTAATGATGTTCCCAAGCCAAGATTTTGGGCACTGATTTTTAAGTTATGGCGCAAAATGTCAATGTACGTACGTGCTGTCATAATACCATTAATAAAATGCAGGTTGCTAATTACATTAGCTGTCATACAGCCTCAAACTAAGACGCTGCCTCCACCATGTTTTACAGTAGCAGTTAAATGTTGCTTTTCCAATTCAGTATTTGGCCTCCTCCACACATATCGTCGTCCATCACTGCCGAAAATGTTAAACTTTGATTCGTTGGAAAAAATAACTGTGTTCCAAAACTCTTCAGATAAATCAACGTGGTATTTTGCGAAATCTAACCTCTTTCTCCTATTTATTTCCGAGATGAATGGTTTCTTTCTAGCTGCCCTTCCATAATAACTTCTCTCGTGTAAAACATTCCGTACAGTCAGTACGCTGAAAGTCTTTCGCTAAGTGAAAGCAACATCTCTAGCTATCTGGAGTGCACTTATTTTAGGGTTTTTCTTAACCTTGTTAATAATGACACGTTCTTCTCTTGTAGAAAATATTCGAGGTCGTCCACTTCTAGTCTAATTTTCCGTTGATCCTGTTTCCTTGAAGTTTTTTACAACACTTCTGACAGTAAATAAACTTATATTGAACTGCACTCCTATAACACGATAAGTTAAACCTTCTTTTCTGAGCCTAATAATCGTGTTTTTAACACTAACGTCCAACTCCTTCCATTTCGAAGTCATTTTACTACAGTAATCGCAAAATAATGCATAGACACTTCTGGAGTAGTTTTGCAGACTTAATACCGGTAGAGTTTCTTATCAGTCGAAACACGTGACTTCAATGTAGTAAAATTTGCATAGCAGTTAAAACTTTGCCAATACTTTTTTGACATGCAAATTTTCGTTTTTGAAAGAAAAAATCGTAGAAAATGCAAATTAAAATAAAATTTTTACTATTTTTATTTATCTAAGATGTCTTGTATATAATTACGACAGCTAAAATTGCATAACATTTTATATATTTGTCAATATGAATAAATTAAGGCAATTGCCAATACTTTTTTTACCCACTGTAAATAAAATTTTACAAATGACATCCAAAATTAGAGCAAACCCACTTTTTGCAATTTCAGAAATATTTTTTTATATTTTTTCAAAATTTAGTAAAGAATCCTTACATTTTTTTTTTCTAATATATCTTCTAATATCTTCATTATATTTTTTTTCTAATATATCTTCTAATATCTTCATTACATTTTTTTCTAATATATTTCTAATATATCAGAATTAACCATTTTGTTTACCAAAACAATTGTTAGTTTAATAAATGATTCTTTATCGATGTTTGTTAAATTTAATATGCACTTAGAATTTACAACTTTCGTTTGAAAAAAGTTGAAATTCCGAAAACTTTGTATTTTATTTGTACATCATCAAAAAGAATCTCGTGTTAAGGTTTAATTATATTGGTTAATTTAAAGTTGTTGACGTTCTACAAACGCTTACAGATACATTTATAACTTATTTTTTTCTGTTGTTATTATTATTATTATTTTTTACTTGTCTTTGATGACTTAAGGCAAGCGCTGCACAGACGTTACTCACTTAGCACTACCCAAGAGGTGCGTGTACCTTGAAGAAAAGCTACGGACGCTGAGTAACACTACCTGCGCAACGCTCTACGATCCTGTTAGACCAAAACCTACGGCTTAAAGTGAATTCTGAACCGCTACAATCATCCATGGCAACGCCGAGACTCAAACCGAAAACCTGTAATACAAAAAGCGAGCTAGCCAGTTGACCATCAGGCACGAAAATTTTTTTGTTCAGGCTTACTCGACCCTTCAGGCCCGAGTACAAAAATGGTGCCCCGCACTTCTCCTTCAATTAGCTGCTCACAAGGAGATTTATGTACTCCCCCTCGCCACTAGAGCGAGTTAGGGAAATGACTTAAAGTGAGCGCATAGATTTCAATAGATATCAAAAATAACTTTATTTTTTGATTAATAGAATCTTCAAATAAACTTTGCCCTTAATTCTATTTCACAGAATAAGTTATGATTTATCTCATAACATTTGTTAAGCGTTTGGTTTGGTTTGTTGCTCTACTGTCATCTTCTGCGCACGAGGGCTTATAGTTTAAAGTGGATTCCGAACCACTACAAACATCCATGGCACCTCCGGGACTCGAACCCGAAACCTGTGGTACTGAGCGCCGGAGCGCTAGCCACTCGGCCATTCAGACCACTAACGCGAAAAGTTCTTGCTGCACATTCTCATTGCAACTTCATTGCAAGCCACACACACAAAAGAAAATTGTAATTGTTTTTTTTTTATAATAGAAGTTGCTGCACAAGAGCTCACTCTCAACCATTTTCATTGTTGTTGTTGTCGTATCGCTCATGGAAGGAGGGCAGAGGGGTGCAGCTTCTGTTCTGATGGAGCACCCGTAGGTAGAAGTCTGACTTCTGCTCCGTGACGCTCTTACAGTCATAGGAGACCGAAACCTACGGCTTAAAGTGGATTCCGAACTACTACAAACATCCATGGCACCGCCGGGACTCGAACCCGAAACCTGTGGTATCGAGCGCTAGCCATTCATGCCCAACCATTTTCATTATATTGTTTAAAATCAAAAGGAGAGTAGACATCGTGTTTTTAAACTGAAGTGAAGTGTTTTATATTGCTTTGTTCAAACTTGGGAGATGAACTTGGAATGTGAAAACAAAAATGCTTTTGAGATTAAAAATAAAAATTAGTATTACAATCCACTCTGGTTGTAAATATCATAAGACTTTTCATGGTCACTTCTGACAGTACAGATCAGTTGGTTATGTGACTTAGGAGTTTCTGGAATCTGAACAAGACTGGTTTACGATTTCGTTTTGCTGAGATGTTTCCTATTGATATACAAGAGTTCAAAGAGGGTGCTGGATTTGTGGTGAATACAGTGATTAAGGTAAGAGCAATTTTCTGGACTAAATTGTTCTGATTTTCCATTTTTGAGTATGCTGGCTTTTGTCAACCTAAACAAAGGGACGAGTTAAAACTTGTAGCTGAATAGAATTTAATGTTTTCTTATAGTGCTAAAATTATCCATTTAAAGTATATGATTGACAAAAGTGATTCTGTATTATTTTGTAAATCATATTGAATTAATGAAAAATATAGTTGAAGTAAAGAAATGAAAATAATCTCTCCAAAAAAATGTCTCTTTAAGGGGTAAGGTCAAACCTGATTCTAATTTGACTGGGTGATATACTGGGATTGAAAGTAAACGGTTTGAATGGACAACAAGTAATATAAAAAAAAAAAATTTTAAGTCAATTCCTACTTTTTTTTAACTCTATTGCAGAAAAGTCCTTTACAAATAAGGTTGAAATTTTCCTCTTGCATTTGGTGCCATCTATTATTAGATACATGTAACTTAAATCTAAAAAAAACTAAAATGAATAAATTAAATTTAATTACTGAATTAATATTTGAAAAAACTGCATTAGCATCCAGGGTCATCCGCTAGAAGTTAAAAAAAATGCATTTGAACTCGAGTGGATGAATAAAAAGTATTTTATGAACGATTGAAAATTTGAACAAGATATATATATATATATATATATATGTAGGGAGAGTATGAACTAATAGTAGGAACTGAAAAAAGGGAAGTCAGAAAAAGAATTAAAAAAGTGTTAGCTAATATTCGAAAAGAGTCATTTCACGATGCTATAGTTTCAAAGGCAAATTCTGATATAGATTATATATATATTTTTTCTTTCTATTGCAGCTGGCAAACACAGACAGCTTGGTCTTGGATGCGTTAAGGCAAGTACTGCACTTTGCATTACCCAGAGGGCGCGTGTAACTTGAAGATAAGCCACGGACGCGCAACGCTCTACAATGCCCCCGCAACGCTCTATGATCCTATTAGACCGGGACCTACTTTTTAAAGTGGATTCCGAATCACTACAAACAACCATGGCACCGCCGGGACTCAAACCCGAAACTTGTGGTACCGAGCGCCAGAGCGCTAGCCACTTGGCCATTCAGGCGCATTATTTAATCTAGAAAGCCTTATTAAAACAATACATATTTCTGTTAAAAAATATGTACTTCTAGTCTATTTTCCTGCCTTTCTTTTCTATAGGCAGATGCATAGTAGCAATGACCCTTTTCGTTTAGACCAGTTTAATGCAAATGTTTTAAAACTAAAATTCTCTATGGAAGAATGGTCTTTAGAAACAATGTTCAGGCTAAAAAAATGTACCTGACGAGTTATATTTGCTGATGACCTGTGAAATAATAATAAATTAAAAACGATTGTATTAAAACAGTTTCAATCAACCTCAAAAGAATGTTTGGATGGATTTTACAAAGTATAAAAATTTCCTTCAGAAAATTATGCACTATTTTTCTTTTGAATGTTATCGTCAGATGTGTAAATTAAGTTATCTTAAGTCAATATGCGAGTGAATTAGTCTGGATAAAAATTTTAGTTTCAGTGGATCGCGAATTGACGACGCATATTGGAGTCCAGCAAAGAGAATCCTATTTTAAATCTCAACAGCTGGGACATGAGAGCTATATTTATTTGCCCTAAAAAAGTAAGGTCAAATCTCGACGATCTAATTTGTCTGAACGAATTACTATCATTGAAAGTAAAAAGAAACAAATCACAAAATTTACCTTTTAGAAAAAAAATTCTTCAATTAATTTCTATATGAGG